CCCCACACACACACACGTACACACACAAACACACTCACACAAACACACAAACACACTCTACCCTCCCCCCTCTCTCTCTCCGCCTCCACCCCAAGGAGGTCCTTGCTCCACCCCCACTATTTCTTTATTTCCTTGCCTTCGATCTCACACCCCAGTTACCGTGAAGCGCAAACACGTTCCCATTTCGTTTTATTCAGATCCCCTTTCCTTTTCAAGTCCTCTCATTCTCTTTTTCTTCATCCCTCTTCATTCATTACAAGCGAGACAAAGCAGCGGTCCGAGAGCTCTATACACCTCAATTGCACTCGAAGCTGTTCTCGCAGGAGTTATTATTGATTAGGTCCATTTTTGTAAGACAATTAGTGTGAAAATTAAATAAGGAAATTCTGAGAATAATAAATATTTATCGAGGATGAAATAAGAAAGCGTATACGTAAAAAATACTCAACATTGTGAATCGTAATGATAAAAACTAGAGTTGTGTCAGAGACCCTTCATTAAAATCAAATTAAATATTTTTTCCTCCAAATCTCGTGGCGCTCACTGATTCCAAACATCATACCGGCCTCAGAAAGCAAGATGTTGTTTGATATTTATTGACAATAGATCTCGCTTTTTTTCAGAGAAGTAAACAAGACACGTTCCCGTTCAGAGTACCCCCCCCAACCCCTTTCTGCCCCTTTCCACATTATGCAAAGCGTCACTACGAGTAAAATTAGAACAATATGCCAACGAAAAGAAAAACAAAGGCATGTCAAATAATCAGCTGCTTTCCTGATTCAGAAGTATCTAAGCGTGCAAACAAAACAGACAATAACATTTTAATGCGGTAGAGCTGAGTCAATGAATACTCTCGAATGTAGTTGTGTTATACGATGGCTTAAAAATACTTTTGCAGGCTCAGGCGTTTCTTACACGGTGAATTAATGTCTCTCTGCAACATTTGATGTCTCAATAACATGAGCGCACTGAACTAGGCAAGTGGCATAAAAAAATAAAAATGAATGCACTTGTTAATGCTGCCATGGGAAAAAATAACCAGACAATAAGCTACTGGTCTAAGAAGAAGTCATGAATGTTAGATTTATAGTCAATATTATCACGTCCACATCTCAAGTTAAAAGCTTTGCATTTCTAATGTTATGAGTTATGTATGTGTCCGGACTCCTTTTCTCCGTCACATCCAACATAAGGGTGAATAATTTCATTATTGCCAGAACCCGTTTGGAACACACTGATTTAAGCTGTGATAAACCTTTTCTCTCTCTCTCTCTCTCTCTCTCTCTCTCTCTCTCTCTCT